GAAGGAAGGAAGGAAGGAAGGAAGGAAGGAAGGAAGGAAGGAAGGAAAATCACAGATGGTGGAATCAGGAGTTGAGCCCTGGTCTGCTAGGGCCTGCTAGGAGCCAGCTTTGAAGTCAGATACCCTTAGGTTCCAATCCTAGCTCTGGGTTTCCATCATTGGGTGTTCTTATAGACGTACCTTTCTGAGTCCCTTTATAATCCTTACAATAGGCTAACTCATATCACGGTGACTAACATGAAATAGATGTAGTAATTGATGCACATAGGTATTTCATAAATACCCCTTCTCTCTTCAAAGGATAAAATAAGATCATGCAACCGTAACAATTTTTGCCCTTTTTTAGACATTGGTTTTTAGTGTGTGTCTGAGTATCTGTGAATGTGCAGTACCCACAGAGGCCAAAAGTGTCAGATCTGGAGCTGGAGTTTTGGTGTTTGTGAACCACTTGGGTCCTCTACAAGAGCAGTACAGTCTTAACTGCTGAGCTGTCTCTCCAACGTCTGATCTTTGTGTATTGAGACAGAGTCTAACTGTATATCCCTAGCTAGCCTGGAACTCCCTATGTAGACCAGGCTGGCTTCAAACTCTCGGATCCACCTGCCTGTGGCACCAACATGTCCAGCCTGTACTTCAGTCTTTATTTATTCTGACCTCTGGCTTTAAGAGTTTTGTTTGTTTTTCTTTTTTCTTTTCAGTGTGTGGGTGTTTTGCCTGCATGTATGTCTGTGCACCAATGGTGCCTGGTGCCTGTGTTGACCAAAATGAAGGGATGAGATTCCCTGGATCTGGAGTTGGCTGTGAGCTGCCATGTAGGTTCTGGGACTCAAACCCTGTTCTGGAAGAGCAGCTAGTGCTCTTAACCATCCCCTCAGTCCTGGCTGCAATATTTTTTCTTTTGTTATATTTACTAAAATTCCTCCCTTAAACCGTTGCTGTGGCCTCTAAATTGGGCTGTTCTATGGCAGAGAGGCTGGTTAATGGGCCACAGGTGTCTCACCCAGCTGATTCCGACTGACTGTGGGATCTGTCTCGTGTGTTAGCTCTCCTGTACCTGGCCACTATGGTACAAGCTTTTCTGACAGGATCACTCCTCCATGGAGCACTCAGCTCTTCCATCGTGTATCATGTTCTTTTGATCCTACAGGTTTGTTGCCCACTGGAATATTGCCAAGTCCATGGCTGGCTACTACCAGGAGTCTGGCCGTGCTGGCAGGGATGGGAAACCATCTTGGTGCCGTCTCTATTACTCTAGGAATGACCGAGACCAAGTCAGCTTCCTCATCAGGAAGGAAATAGCCAAACTCCAGGTACGTTTCGGGCAGGTTCTTGTTGTCTGAACCCGCCACTCAATCTCCTGTAGCTCGTTACTGAGCCCAGAGAGGGTCTGTAAACTAGACAGGGTTACCCAAGGGAAAATGGTATATAGGGTGAACAGGCTGCTAGGGACGACCTGGGTTAGAATCTGTCAATATTTAGCTTACCTGAACACCATCTTGTATGTGTGCTGTTAAATATAGGCAAAATCATTCTTGCCTTGTTTTAGTGCATTTTGTTATGTGTTTTCCCATGTCCTCTGGTTTTTCTTTAGTTACTTAATTTCTTACTGATTGTACATTTACAGAAAGCCCAAACTGGAAAGGAATATGGTGTGAAATAAGTACATTATGAGTCACCAGAAAGAGGAGAGGCTGGGAAAAAGATAAAATGAGGTTCCTATATGATCAGTGTATGAATTTCAGATGGGTTGGCACTTCAGAAAAACCATAAAATTAAGGATAAAATAGTTTATGTCCTTGGGAAAAGAAAGATCATCTCAATTTAGTTGGTTGGTTGGTTGGTTGGTTTTTGAGACAAAGTTTCTCTGTGTAGCCCTGGCTGTCCTGGAACTTTCTCTGTAAACCAGGCTGGCCTTGAACTCACAGAGATCTGCCTGCCTCTGCCTCTGCTTCCTGAGTGTTAGGATTAAAGTTATGTGCTCTCATTGCCTGGTGATTTTTTTTTTTTTTAATTTACATTATTTGGTGTGGGAACACCGCTGCATGCATGTGGAAGTCAGAGGACAGCTTGCAGGAATCAGCACTCTTCCCACCATGTAGGTAGGTCCTGGCATCAATCTCAGAATGTCAGGTTTGATAGCACTCAAATCACATTTACCTGCTAGGCCATCTTGTCAGCCCATATCTCAAGATATTTTTGCTGTGTTTGGTTTTTCAAGACAGGGTTTCTCTGTGTAGCCTTGGCTGTCTTGGACTCCATTTGTAGACCAGGTTGGCCTCAAACTCACAGAGAACGGCCTGCCTCTGCCTCCCAGAATGCTGGGATTACACACATGCGCCACCAACCCTGGCTTGTTTCTTGTTTTTCAAGATAGGGTTTTTCTGTGTAGCCCTGGCTATCCTGGAATTCATTTTGTAGACTAAGCTGTCTTTGAACTCAAGAGATCCACCTGCCTCTGCCTTCTGAGTGCTGGGATTAAAGGTATGTGCCACCACTGCCCAGCATATCTGAAGATTTTTAAAAGCAAAAACAAGTTGACATGATTGTGAGCACCTGCAATTCTGAACTCAGGAAGCAGAGCCAGGGATATTGAGGTGTTAAGACCAACGGTTACAATAGCCAGATCAACCTCGGCTTCAGAGCAAGACCTTGTATCAGAAAACCAAAGGGACTGGTTGTGGTTCAGTGGTAGGGCTCATACTGCAAACAAGCAACTAAAACAAGACAAAAGCCCAGAAAGCAAGCCTGGCGTTGTGGTGTACTTACTTATTTCAGGAAGGGGTAAGCTGCACATCACTGCAGGGGCTTTGGAGAGAAGAGAGTGATGCTTGCACAAAGGGAGGCTGGGCTAAGTTGAGCACAGTTATTTCTGATCCCAACCAAGTGACAAGTAAAGGAATAAAAAAATAAACTCACAAAGGTAAGAAGAACAGGAGAGAGGACAACAGCCACTAGAAGTGTGACTAATGGTCGGGTGCGGTGGTAATCCTAGCGCTCAGGAGGCTGACCCAGGAGGACTGCTCTCAGTGATACATACCGAATTCAAGGCCAGCCTAGAAGGTAGAATGATAAAACAAAGCAGAAATAAACCAAGAGAAAGAGAAAAGGCAAATGTCTGCCGAGAAAACCCCAATCTATAAGACTGCATTGAAAAACAGAACTTGGGGTAAAGAGCTTCAGAGCTGGCTCAGTGACTTCAGTCCCAAGGGATTCCAAGCCCTCTTCTGGCCCCCTAGAGCATTGCATTGACGTAGTACACAGAAACAAATGCAGGCAAAACATCCATATACATAAAAAACAAAACCAAAAGCAACACTCATGTAAACAAATAAATGTAAACAAAGAAATCTTCTTTAAAAATACACAGAGGGCTGGAGAGCTGGCTCAGAGGTTAAGAGCACTGGCTGTTCTCCCATAGGTCCTGAGTTCAATTCCCAGCAATAACATGGTGGCTCATAACCATCTATAATGAGATCTGGTTTCTTCTTCTGACCTACAAGTGTACATGCAGGCAGAACCCTGTATATATAATAAAATCTTAAAAAAAAATACACATATACACAAAAACCTGGGGCTGAAGAGATGGCTCAGTAGTTAAAGGCACTTGCTGCTCGTGCAGAGGATCCAGGTTCAATACCCAGCACACACGTGGCATTCACAACCATCTTATAATTCCATGTACAGGGGTCTGATGCCCTTTTCTGGCCTTCACAGGCACCAGGGGTGCATGTAGCCCACAGATACACAAACAGGCAAAACAGTCAAAAAAAAAAAAAAAAAAAAGGGTTGAAAACAACATTCTGTGCTGAGGAGATGGCTCAGAGGGTAAAGTACTATATGCCATGCAAATGTGAGGAAACCCAGGAAGGTAGATGGGTACTGGCCTGGAAGCAAAATCATAGATGGGGACGGAAGGTTCAAGAAGTTTTTCAAAACTCAAGTTGATCCGACGTCTTGGGCTCTTGTTGAAATGAATTATTTGTTCTGACAAATATTTGGAGGTGAATTAGTGACACACTGAAACCTAAAGTCATCAGGGCAAGGAGAAGCAACTGTTTTTTAGAGGAAACAGTGTTATACCAAAAGGAAATGTGGGCATGGCAAATGTAAAATTGTAATCGTGTGGTTCAGCTGGGAACTGTGTTGACATAGCCATAATGAGGAAAAGACTACTATCACAAGAAATTGCAGTTTGGGGCTAGAGGTACAGCTTCTATGGTAGAAGCCTAACATGTTTGGACAAGGCCCAAGTTTAATCCCTAGCACCGCCCATAAATACATAATCAGTACTGCTGGGGTTTGTACCCAGGTCTTCACATGTGCTAGGCAAGTGCTTGATCCCTAGCTAACAGTCCTTAAAAAATAACCAGCCAGGAGGTGGTGGTGAGTGCACACCTTTAATCCCAGCACTTGGGAGGCAGAGGCAGCCTGGTCTACACAGTGACTTCCAGGACAGCCAAGGCTACATAGAGAAACCCTGTCTCAGAAAATCAAAACAATGAAAAGAAAAAGAAAAAAACAGCATCAACAAAAGGAGAGATGGCTTAGTGTTTAGGAGCTCTGGCTGCTCTTACAGAAGACCCAGGTTTGATTCCTAGCACCCACATGGCAACTCACAACTTTTTGTAACTCCACTTCCTGGGAAACTGATTCCCTCTTCTGGCTTGTGTGGGCACCAGGCATCCAAGTGGTATACCGACACACATGCAGGCAAAACACTCATATGGTTTTAAAAATGAAACTTTACTATGCTTTAACTTACTGTGTGTGTGTGTGTTGCCTGCATGAGTGCATGTTTTGTCTTTTGCCAGACGAGAGCATCAGATCCCTGGGAATTAGAGTTACAGATGGTTGTAAGTCATCATGTGGGTCCTGGGAACTGGACTTTGGTCAGCTGCAAGAGCAGCAAGTACTCTTAACTGCTGAGTCATCTCTTTGACCCCTGTTTTTAAGATTAGCATATAAAGTAATGAGTTTCATTATTACTTCTTCACACATATAGTCATAGACTTTATTTTTCTGTTCCTAGTGCTCTTTATTGTTGCCTCTTCCCACAAATGTGCATTCTTTTGTGTGTGTCAGGGGATGAATGACCTAAAAGCAAAGTCATATTGCCTCATATTTTCTGTATTTTTTTCCTCAAGACCAGCTTTCTCTGTGTATCCCTGACTGTCCTGGAATTTATTATGTAGACCAGGCTGGCCTGAAACTCAGAGATCTGCCTGCTTCTGCCTCCTGAGTGCTAAGATAAAAGGCCTCTGTAACCACCACCTGACTTGTTTTCTGTATTTAAAAAAATGATTTTAAAATTTTATTTGCTATTTATGAGTGTTTACTTGCATGTGTGTTCATGTACCACATGTGTGTGGTGCCCAAGGAGGGCAGAAGAGGTTACAGGAGGTTGTAAGTCACCATGCGGGCCCCGGAGATAGAACTCAGGTCCTCTGCAAGAGCGGTGCTCTTGGCCGCTGAACCGTCTCTCCAGCCCCTGTAAGTTAAGGGTTTTTGTTTTTGTTTTTTTTTTAAATTTTATTTATTGTGTGTGAGCACAAATGAGCCCGTGCCACTGAGCACATGAGGAGGTCAGAGAACAGCTTGTACGAGTCAGTTCTCTCCTTCCACCATGTGGCTACTGGGTTCTGAACACAGGCCATCAGGCTTAGTGGCAAGTGCCTTTACCCAGTAGGCTATCTTTCTGAGCCTGAGTTGATAATTTTTTTAAAAAAAGGAACTTTTGGCAGATAGATATAGAAGAGGCCAGTAGTGCATAATCTTACCTGATTGAGGCTAACAGTTTAGTCTGTCCTCTGGTGTGTATATTACCATGTAGGTTTTGTATATGTAAGGGCCCAAAGCTTGTGCATGCATTTACTGTTTAGAACGTGGATAGAGTCACAGTTTCCCAAATGTCAATCCAGGGCACAAGAATCACCTGAGCATCTTTTTAGAATGGCAGCTCTCAAAAGCTCCCATCCAAAAAGTCCAGCTCGGTAGTCTGATAGGCGTCATACCTAAGGCCGGGCTTGGTGATGCCATGTTGACCTTCCGTCTTTTTCTCCTTCACTACTTACCATGATTGCGCGTTCTAAGACTCTGGAGGACTGAGTGGTTGCTTTCTTTCTCCAGGAGAAGAGAGGGAACAAAGCATCTGATAAAGCCACCCTGCTGGCCTTTGATGCCCTGGTGGCCTTCTGTGAAGAATTGGGGTAAGTGGGGCTAAGAAGATGATATAGCTCAGTGACAGAACATTTGTCTAGCAGGTGCAGCACCCTGTGGTTAAGCTCAGCATTGCCTCCCTGCTCCTCAAAGGGGAGAAAAGCCAGTTTCTTGATGTTGGATGTTTAACTGTGTCAGATCATTTCCTCTCCCAGCAACCATAACTTTGCCGGCAAGGGACCCCTGCTTGCAAAGCTCATATTTCAAGAATAGAAAAGTCAGGACACTTCCTTTTTTCTTCTGGAGGCCACTGAAACTCCAGCTTGTACGTGTGAGGATTTGTTCCACATTAGGGTCCTCATCCACTCCTCTGCCTACCCCATGTCTCACTGGCTCTGTGAGCAATTCGTGCCAGAGCGATGTGGCCAGTTCTCAGCACTGAGCTGGCTCTTCTGACCATGTGATCCAGCTCATGCTGCTTTGTTTGTGTTTGAGATGAGGCCTTGTGTCACCTAGGCTGGCCTCCAGCTTGCCATGTATCAGAGGCTGGCCTTTGACCCCTGCTTATCCTGACTGCCTTCACAACTGTTAGAATTATAGACATGTGTTACCACACCTGATGAGCTGTTCTTGCTCTGACCCAGAGCCCAGACAGAAGCGTGGGGCCCACTCATCTCTGGTGGAAGTGCCACATGCTTTTCTAACAGAACTCCAGCCCTCTTATGTAGAACCTGCTTAGCTGTTTTGTCTACAGCTGTAGCAGTGGAGTGGGAGCTATGAGGCAGCCATGGAGAGAGACTGTTAGCTGCTCAATGATGTCTCATGGCTGGGCATGTAGTCAGTAGAATCCTATGTGAAGAATGCCCAAGAAGAGTCGGTATATGTGGAAAATACATTCATTCGTCTATGTGAACAGAAGTGATTGCCTCAGACTTTGAGATGAATAAGCCAAGCCCCAGACAGGTCCGGTCACAGAAATCGTGACAGAAGCTGCTAAACTGAGGATTCTTTTTTTGTTTTGTTTTGTTTTTTGTTTTTTGTTTTTTTGTTTTTTTTTTGTTTTGTTTTGTTTTTGTTTTTGTTTTTGTTTTTTTTTTTGAGACAGGGTTTCTCTGTGTAGCCTTAGCTGTCCTGGACTCACTTTGTAGACGAGGCTGGCCTTGAACTCATAGCGATCCGCCTGCCTCTGCCTCCCTGAGTGCTGGGATTACAGGTGTGCGCCACCAGGCTCAACAACTTGGGCTTCTTGATTATCACTGTGGATGTGCTCATTTCATACATGAGTCATCTTGAGTTTTGTAAGACTGGCATTTGTGGGGGGGGGGGGAGAAGGGATGTCTGTTTTTGTGGTATTAGGGGTTGAAGCTCAGGAACTTGCACATGTTATACAAGCCCTCTACCAATGAGTTACACTCCTACCCAGATACTGTCCCCTTGAGGCAGAGTGCTGGTGACTGAGTGCATATTACGGGTGTCTACAAGATGTGTTTAGGCTTTCCTGCAAATGGGGGAGCGGGCATGCTTATTTGAGTCCTACATTTGGATTCTCATCTCCCTTCATTGATTGGAGTATTTTCTTCTGGAAATGACATCTCTAGTTTGATCTCTGTGGCAGGATCACATGCCAAAAAGGTTGTTGTGCCAAGCCCACTCTTGGCCAAGGCCATACCACCAAAGCCCTTTCCTGCCACTGGTACATGACTGTGCTAAATTCAGTCTCCTCAGGCCCTGAACAGAGCTCTTTATGATGAGGAGTGAAAGGACCAAGTGTTCGTGCTAATTGTCAGTCTCCTCTGCAAAAAATCTTACTTGGTTCTTCTCTGAGACCAGAGTGCTCAAACATGCCACGCCACAGAACAGATCCTAATCGGGGTCTCTTCTCAGCGCCTTGATAGGCCAGTTGCAGGTAGACATCTGTGGGACCAAGAAGTCCAGGCAATACTCCCCAGTGTTCGTCCTCACACATTCCTAGCTTGTTAGCTACAGGTGAGGTTCTGGAGCTCAGCACTCCCAGGGTCTGGTGGGGCAAACCTTGCTGGCCCGTCACTGTCACCATGGTTGATTAAGTGAAAGAGAATGAATGTTGTGTGGACAGTATCTGGCATGAAGGAAGAAACCCCTTTCAGCAGATGGCTGTTCCTTTTCTAAAAATAGTTGTGGTTTGAGGCTGATGGTGGTGACTGTTCCCACCTGGCAGGGAGGGATAAGACCAGTGGGGTGAGCTCAGCTGAGGTGGGTGCATTTCTAAAGGGAAGCTCTTGTAAGGGGGTGGGCTGTGCAGGGTGGGAAATGGGCAGTGGGCTGGGATCACCAGAAAAGGTATTCAGGTCTATTCCAGATGAGGCCAGCGGGGGGCAGCCAGTGGTTTTTATCTTGTCTCTGCCCTATAGTCATTTTCTCCGAGCTGCAGCCAATGAAGAAGCCTGTTCATGGAAGGACTCGAAGCTTGTAGTTATTAGTCTTGAAATAAGTCTGGGCATTGAAATAAAGGCCTGGGCATTTTAAGATGCAAGAGGAGCTTTTCGTTGTGGCCTGCGTAGACACTCGTATGGGACCTCCGGACTGAGTGACTCAGCCGCTCAGCAGCGTGCAGTCTATTGGCTTGTGTGCTCATTCGTTCATTCGCCAAGCACATTGAGATGAGCATGTCTCACTGGGAAATACGTATGTAAAATATGTAATGCCTCATGAATGGACTCTGAAAAAATGCACATTTTCTTTTTAAAAATTTTGTATATGGGTGTTTGCAGGCATGTATGTCTGTGTGCCAACCACATGTGTGCCTGGTGTCCGAAGAGGTCAGGAGAGGGCATCAGTTCCTCTGGACTGGAGTCACAAATAGTTGTGAGCCACCATGGGTGCTAGGGATCAAGCCTGGGTCTTGTGCAAGGAGCAGCTCGTCTTAACTGATGAGCTGTCTCTCCAGCCCTTTACAGTGTTGTTTTGAGAGTAACAGAATGCCCTATCCCAGCCTCTGGGGTCAGAGTCAGGGAGAGTTTATTTGAAAAGGGCAGGTTTAGACAGATCTGAAAGGCAACAAAGTACTACTCAGGCCATGGAGTGTGGTGTGGGGTGAAGTAAAGTACCTTGTCAAGGGGAATATGCGTAAAAGCCTCCAGGCTGCAGCCACAGGGCAGTTTAGGAACGGAAGGTTTTGTTGTGAACCTAGGGGCACATGTCAGGTAGCTCCTGAGACTGGTTCGGCAGCTTACAGGGCCAGGTTTTGCCTGCCTTAGTGAGGTTTGCTAGAGAAGCTAGCTCAGAGAACCACATCTGTGAAAAAATGAGCTCACGATAGTGGATTTGAAAAGAAATTTTTACTTCATCTGACATTTTGTGTCTTCAATCAAGGACTTGCAAAATTGCTGCATGAGCAGGAACCCTCTGGAGGACTTTGTTGGCTATTGCTGCTCTCTGAGGGTACAGCAGAGCCCCTCTCCATGTATTTACATGTTCAGCTGGTAGCAGGGTGGGAAAGCCAGAAATGGTATCAGACCAGCCTTCCCCTCTTGATGTCTGACCAATCCCTAAGCCAGATCCAGTGGTTCACACAGATTCTTTCTTGAGCCAGAAGAACTAGGGAGCCCACTGCTGATATAGGGTAAGCAGGTAAGCCCATATTTTTCTGCTTTTTGGGCCCCTAGGAAGTCCTCTTCTTTTCCACCAGCCCAAACACAATAGCAAATACGATGAAGAACAGGACTGTAGAGATGAATAAGCCAATCACTATCAGGGCCCCCACATCCCAGGGGTTCTTCCAGAAGTCATCACTCTGGAATCTCTTTGGAATTACCATTTGGCCTGTGAAATGCTGGAAGAGAGGAGAAGAGGCCCTGAGTGCAGAGAGCTCTGAAGGCCTTGTCTGCTGTGGTGCTGTCCATGCCATTCCCTAGACCTCTGTGCAATTGCATTGAACAGCAGGCCACATTTGGCTGGCCAACACTGAGGGTCAGGAGTCTTTGGATTTGTAGTCTCTAGCATCTACAAATGGGATTTCCTGCTTGGAGCTGCTGGGGGCCACCCACAGAGACTCTTTCAGGTTCAACAACTCTGGTATGAGCCAGAATGTCTCCCCTGCCCCTGAGGCCTTCATAGCTAGAACCTAAGAGGCACCACTGTAGGTCTTCCCCTATTCTTATTGCCCCAATTGCCAGATGTTTGGGAGGCATTTTGAGAGATTGATATAGCAACGCAGCTGTGGATGATAGTGCACTTAGTTTCATCTCCTCAGAATGCTGAATTCCTGCTTGAGCCCAGGAATTCCAAGCCAGGTGGGAACAGGAAAACAAAACAAAAAAAGCAGGTGGGGTTGGAGAGATGGCTCAACAGTTAAGAGCACTGGCTGCTCTTGCAGAAGACCCAAATTCAGTTCCCAGAATTCATTTGTCAGCTCACTATCATTCATAGTGTCAGCTCCAGAGCACCCGACACAGTGGTTAGCCTCTGAGGGCAACAGGAATGCATGCATGGACACACGTACAAGTAGGAAGAACACACACACACACACATCCTAAAAGAAAAAGGAGTGGTGGATGGGAACAAAATGTGGTTGAGGCGGTCAGTGTCCTTAGAGACAACTGGATGCAGGAGGCCATATTCTCAAAGTGCAGGTGGTGTCAGGGCTGCAGCCAGTGGAAAGGAATACAGGGAAAGACGAAAGACAATGTTACCTGGTTCTGCTGCTAATAGGCTTGTGTCTTATGAGGGAAAGGCAGGTCAGGATTGTTCTTCAGGCTTCACACTTTGGCGTTCCTGAGTGGAAGAGGCTGTCAGGTCACCACAGCTGTGCCCCACTCAAAGAACTGACTGTTGGCAGCCCAGAGCATTGCCAAATACCACACCTTTGCTGCTGCCACCAGAGCAAACAAAGGTGAGCTAGACTGGTTGCCTGGCAACTCCCATTCCCTTCATCAGTGTTCTGTTCTTTTATGATGGCATTGTAGGGTGCTCAGGACACATAGTAAGGAGTTGTCCTTGAGAGAAGTCAAACTGAGTGAGGAAAGAGATTGGGTTTGCGCCCCAGGCATCATGTGCACCTCACCTGTGATCT